TGGTTATAGATGAAAAAGGTAAGATGATTCTGAATAAGATCCTTCCCAGAAACTCTGAGATCGAAGGGATACCAGTAGTCAAATTCCTTCTTCATTTCCTTGAGAAGAGAAGAAGATATAGAAGAATTTTCAGGAAAAGGTCCATTACAGAACAAGAATTCCCAGATCTCATCGGTCCTGAAGAGTGATCGTTACCATACATGTCCCCTTTCTGCAAGAAATGTGCCACGGTGTAATATGCCATATAAATTGTGGAATCAGACAAGGACTCAACTAAGAATTCCTCATCCCAAGGAATACGAGTTCCCAGCCCAAAATTGCGAGAGCAAGCCCATTGATTAAGCCAGCTAAGAGTGTGTTCAAAACCATGCCGTGTCTCATCAGAGTAGAGATTCATACTGGCCAAACACTCTTCTGCAGCTTTCCTCCATTCTGATTCTCCATAAGTGAGATACCACTGATCAGTCAAAGCCACAACACACTCATCCCCAGATCTCGACATGACCTTCTTCTCAGGTTCACTATATATAACTGCTTGATTCATCTCTAAAAGGTTGCTCCTGATCAGACCTTTTGCTTCTTGGACTTTCATACCAGCAAATTCTCCAACAATCATGGTTCCTTCGTAAAACCCACCCTTGTAAATTGTTTTCTTTGCCTCTTCAAGCTTATCTCTTTCATTCTGGCTCTTAATTTTTTTTCAATACAAATTCTCTCAGCTGACCTGTCTCCAAAATCTGGATGGTTGATAATTGGGACTATCTCAAACGGCAAGACCCACTCATCCTTCACACCGAATTTGGCCCTGAAAGCTGGCTTTGACTTCAAATCATGTAGGGCCATATAATCATCGGGGGAATCACTGGGAACACTAGTTACAATTCCTGTACCTTTTTCAGTAAGGACAGATAACATGGGCAGAGTGTATATTGTCTTATTAAATGCCAAGGGAGACCTCAGGGGCAAACCTATAAGATCTTGACCAGATAATTCAAGCAAACAACTCGGCTTCTCAGGGATCCGAGACAACCTTTGATAGGCTAGATTAAGAGCTGCCTTATAAGTCAACACAAAAACCTCAGTATCATTAATCTCAAACACCCCATATTTTCCTTCGGACAAAACCCAAGCATTTGTTTGCCCATACATGGTCTCTGGTCTCAGTGTAGCTGCTGCGAGATATACCTTTTTCCCCTCCAGAACACTCATCTTTGGTGGAAAAGGTGAGAGAACTTCCATCTTGATAAGAGTGTACTCCTGAGGGATAACTCCTTCACCAGAAGCACGGTCATGGTCAGCACATGGCTGACCATCTAGGGGCGAATATACGGTGTACCTGAGATCCTTAACAATCTTTCCCGAGGCTTTCAGCTTCCGCATTTGCCACCGTACAAACGAATCAAAGTACGGATTCATATCAGTTGTAATAAAAGTTCTACGCCAATCACAACCCAAGCCGAACTCCTTCAGATCCTCTACAGCCAGTGGTGGAAAGTATGTTAGCCAGTAATATGGGTCTTTAAACCTCGCAATTTCCTCGTCAGACAGACCATAACTCCTCATTATCTCCCACTGGTACTTAACACCCCCAGTCTTTGCAAGAACCTTTGATTTCTTTCCTTTAAAGTTTCCACCTGGCAAACCCTGATTTCCTTCACCCTCAACCTTCACTTCTGTTTCAACATTCTCCGCTTCCTTCACAACAGGAAACACGGGTGGGTTCCCAAACCTCGATATCTCCCTCGAAAGCTTATCAGCAGATGCCTTTATGGGCATTCCTGTGCAGTGAAATGCAAAAGGCAAAAGAACACTAGCACCTCTCAATCGGTGATATGCAGCTGCAAATTCAAGCTTTGACAATGAAAAGGCATGGCCCAAATGTAGATATCCATTCATATAAGGGAAAGGGAAATTCCCAAAGAACTTTTCACCCACTTTAGGAGGCGATTCTTTAGGTTCAGCTCTGAAAACATCACCTTCTGTCCACCACTTATGAACCTGTTTCTCTATGTCTAACAATTGGTTCCTTCGGGCAAAACTTCTGCCACCTTCTTCTGCCATCACTTCTCTATCAGCAAACCCACAGAATCTGCATAAGAGAGGAAAAATCATATCAAGTGAACATCTTCAGAATTATATCTTCACAGATCATCAAGAAAATTTTGAATAGATAACGCCACATCTTTCAAGAACATGCACACTGAAAAAAATGCACAAAAAGAAACATCATGTTCTTGTAGAAAACAAATAACCGAACCCCAAGCTAACATCGCATGCGCAATAAACTAACATAATGGAACACTATGATAACCAAAATAAAATCTTAGGTAATAACAAGTGATCTGATGCATCAATTCCGTATGCTTAACAGAACGTCTGAGTCATGAAGTGATCTAGACCGTGTCTTCCTCAGGAGGAGCAATTATGGAACAAAGCAATAGTAGACCATTTACCATCTCCTTCAAGAAACCAACAAGTTGCTAGAAATACAAAATTACCAAACAGCTGGACCAGGCACTAGGCCGGAAAGGAAACTGCTTAAGAATCTACTTAGAAGCATGTACAGTTTCAATTAAGGCCCTACATACAATGGAATCAACTGAAAAAATCAGCAGAACATAATTAGAAAAAGGAAAAGCTTTACAGGCCACCTTACCATAAATGCAGCTGAAAAATTATTAGAACAATTAAGTAAATGAAATACTATAAACAATGAAAATAGAAGTAACTCAACAATGAACCCACCCAAGATTAAGGCTTTATGATTCAATTTCGCAAAAGGATGATGGCTATCACATACTTACTACTATAAAAGTAACTTATTCATGAACCCACCAAAGATTGGGACTTTATTATATTTATTCAACCTAAGAATGATGGACATTTGGAAAATGACAGAAAATCAAACATATCCATATCATTCAAGAAAATTAGCACAATTACTAACAAATACTATTATAATTCAAGAATTGAGAAAAAAAATTAGTGACAAATAGGAAAAAGTTTTATCACCTTGATTTGCTTAAATTGAATGGGAATATTACATATGATGAAAATCGCTTAGGCTTAAGTGAATAACGTCTCAGTATATGAGACGCCACAGTGAAGAATGAGGATCAAAGTAGGAGGGTTACGTTTAGTAGGGTTTTTGCATTTTCTTTTGCAAAAATCTGTTTTTGCAAGAAAATTTAACAGAATGAAATAACATATTTTTGCAAAAGAAAATGTTATTGGTTAGTAGCTTTCGATTTTATGTATTATCGAATATCAATAATCAAATTAATAAGATATTTGTTATTAATTTTTGTTTATTAATTTTTAGTAGTTTGATTTTTGATTTAATCAATAAAAATGGTTCTCCAATTTTCTTTGTTTTCTCTGATTTTCATGATCTGTTCATACAAGAAGCAGCAAATTCAAGTAAGTTTTCTAATATGAAGTTATTTTCTTTCTAGTTAAGCAACAAAGGTGATGCAATTGCATGGTAGTAAATAGTAATCTTTCAAAAAGAAGAAAAATAAAGTCAGTTCACACGGATGGGTAGAACCCCGTCAAGCCAAGAATTATAAAATGTAGGTAAAAGGATCAAATATTCCCTAAACTATGTAAAAAGGTTTAGATATACCTCCGTTTAAAGTTTGGTTCATTTATACCCTCGCCGTTTAACTTTTGGTCTATATATGCCCTTTTGGATGTTAGTTGGTCAACTCGAAATATCCAACTCATTTTACTTTTATTTAAATGTCAAATGGATTTTTCACGTCATTTTTATGTATTATCACTTGACATTTATATTCATGGAAAAAGGGTCAAATATGTCCCTAAACTATTCAAAAAGGTCTAGATATACCTCGTTTAAAGTTTGGTCCATTTATACCCTAGCCTTTTAACTTTTGGTCTACATATGCCTTTATGGGTGTTAGTTGGTCAACTCGAAATATCCATCTCATTTTGCTTTTTTGAAATGTCAAATAGATTTTTCACATCATTTTTATATATTATCACTTGACATTTATATTAAAAGAGAAAGGGGTCACTTATGCCCTAACTATCCGACCTAATTTTAAAACACATATACGACCATCTCTTAAATGGTTCAATTATGCCCCTAATCCAACTCATATATGTGTGAATTATTCTGTTATTTACATCATCATCGCCTACTGCAGCTTGCAGTTGTGACTGTAACGTTGTTGCGGCGAATTCCTCCGCTCTCGCCCTTGCCTGCCAGGTTTGTGCCTCCAGCTCTGTGTTGCGCCGAAACGCTTTTCAAACCTCGACTTCATTTTCCTTCTGTTGTCGTGCCATTGATTCCTCGGCGGTTCCAATTAGAGCACGATAGTGTTCGCCTTTTAAATGGTTCAATATGTCCTAATCCGACCCATATACGGTATTTTAAAAAATTGGTCGTATATGTGTTTTAAAATTAGGTCGGATAGTTAGGGGCATAAAAGACCCCTTGACCCCTTTCTCTTTTAATATAAATGTCAAGTAATAATATATAAAAATAATGTGAAAAATCCATGTGGCATTTAAAGAAAAGTAAAATGAGTAGGATATTTCGAGTTGACCAACTAACACACATAAGGGCATATGTAGACCAAAAGTTGAAATGTGAGGATATAAATGGACTAAACTTTAAACGGGGGTATATCTAGACCTTTTTGAATAGTTTAGGGGCATATTTGACCCTTTTTCCTTGAATATAAATGTCAAGTGATAATACATAAAAATGACGTGGAAAATCCATTTGGCATTTAAATAAAAGTAAAATGAGTTGGATATTTCGAGTTGGCCAACTAACGCCCAAAAGGGCATATATAGACCAAAAGTTGGACGGCAAGGGTATAAATGGACCAAACTTTAAACGGGGTATATCTAAATCTTTTCAAATAGTTTAGGGGCATATTTGACCTTTTTCCTTAAAATGTAAAAGAAAATAGAGTTCGTATTTAAAATCTAAGCAACTATTATATAATTAGGGATAAAAAATAAAGATCTAGTATAATCTAATTTGGGTTATTGATTTAATCGTTAACTAAATCTTATACAAAAAGATCAAAATGATAGACCAATAAGAGAAAATTACAAAATCGTTAATGTAAGATCACAAGATTCAGAAATTTTATTTTACTTTCTTTTAAGTCTGCATCAAGTTGAATGAACATATATACATGTATTATTTCGTCTAAAGAGTTGTAAAAACTCCCTCAAGCGCTCTCCCCCTTTGCCTTTGTTTATATGGCAATTTGGTACATCATAGGACCAAACTCTTCACTGAGGCTTCTTTAGCTAAACACTATTTCATCATCTGTAAACCTGAAAGCACAACAATGAATTGACTAAGAATGAGATATCTTTAACTTGCTACTGAGTATACAGTATGAGCAAAACTACAAACAAGAAGCTTTGTCAAGCAGAGAAACAAACAACTTGCAACTTAAGAGGCTAACGAATCTCTATCATACATAACCGCGAGTTAGAGGTATTTATCTCATCTTAGAGCTAACTCCTCTATAAAGCATTCAATAACTATACATGCATGTTATGTTGTACTACGAGTATTGTCAAGAATATGTGGTAGAGATTCAGGACAGACCTTCTAAAGAAACACAGTTTCAAATACTTCAAGTACTAGGTGATCAGCATTAATAATGTGTACAACATTTCCCATAAAACAGTAGATTTACCTTCCATCGTCATCGAACTGACAACAATTGCTCCATACTCCAGTAAAGTGGAGAAACATGGCTGCTAAATGATCTGAGATCAGAGATGCCTCAGGCTGACCAATTCAATATCAAATATGACTGTCCCCAATGTTGCGCCTTCTCCATTTGCAAGACGGGTTGGGTTGAAAATGGTAGTAAAAAGTCTTTGCCGATCGAAATACTGAAAGAGGGAGAAAATGTTACTAACTTAAGTTCCAAATGAAATATATTAATGAGATTAAAACTTTTCCTAGTCTCTTCCTAAAAAATATTAGAAGTAATACTAATCTCGGTTTCAACACCAAATAAATACAATCAATCAGTTTTAAAGACCTTTGTACTGCAGATATTATGAATGACTGAATCAACCAACAGAAAAAGGCTGGGATAGTAAGACTCTGAAATCACTTCCAAGACTCTAACAAGGTCGACTACATAATCCCCAAACTAATCTTGTTTGACTCAAACTCGAGAACTCTGGTTAAGGATGAAGAAATACTTACCGCTCCACCATAACCCTTGTCGGTGTAGAATTATAATTTTATTATGCCTTAAAGAGTAACGTAATTCTTGAACAAATTTTTTTCTGCTAACTAACTAGTAGAGAAGTAATACTTCTTCTTGCAAAAGGGTAACAGTTCACACGATTAACATACATCAAACATATAAAGGAGATTAAAGACATGATTCCATGCCTTTTACTTTCCAAAACCCAGGCTCGGTAAGAACCCCACAGCATCATTCATGCAGAAAGAGCTCTAGAATTAGAAAACTAACTACACTTCCCTGCCAAATCTATCCAAAAGAATGCAACTGAGAAGTACTAAATTATGATTATAAAGGAAGAAGAGCAACTTCACACATTAGGTGGCAGGGGTTCTTGGGATGTATTCTGATATCCTTGAGATGGTGGGATAATAACTCGGCGAAGGCCGCCTACTTTCATCGATTTCACAGCAGTTTCAATCCCTGATATAACCTGCAATAAATACATAGACAAAGATGTAGAATTAATTGCTACAATTTATTTTTGTATATAATTTAGTAGGTTCAGATTAGTGGAACAGATACTACTTCAAAGTAGAAAGAATTCATGACAGAAAAACTCAAACGATGATCAAAGCAAATTGAAACAACCAAAACAAGCATAGTCAAGCACCTGCTCTGAAAGACCAAAAAAGTAAGGAAATTCAGAAAAAGGAAATATCTCGTTTGAAGGTTCACTACAATGACGGTATGAGGAAACACATGCGAGATAGGTAGAGTTGGATATTTACAACTAACATCATCTACGGATTTTTCATTAATAAAACAAAAGTAACAAATTTTGGCACTTTAGCGATAATCCAAATTACAGAAGAAGAAAAAAAACATTCATCTTACTTTATTATCATGTTCTCCTCTTGGATACACCTTACCCTGAACCTACATTTGAACTTTTCCATAGTTGTAGTCCTCGCCTACCTGCCAATGTTCCTTCATTCCTACCTTATGCTAGATGGTCATTGTTCCTACTTCCTGCATGCAGTCTTGGCCCAGAACCTTCTTCTTTCGTTTTTCTAACTGCATTTACTTTTCTTTTCTTCCTTTATCATTCTTGTGTCAAGCATTTCAAAATAACTTTACAAAGTAGTTTGCTTCCACTGCCTTAGGTAGTGCCAGAAACTATAGGTTTTACCACTTTTGTAGGTGATGCTAGAAATTGAAGGACCACAAAGAGGAAGAAACATTGTAGCAGCAACAAAGGCATAGAATCAATTAGTCTAGAAGCATCATTTTGTTTAGGCTATTTTCATATGGATCATACTATGATGGCAGCTTTTCAATGTGGTGGTATATTTTGTATGTACTAGCTACCTTCTTAAATCATGAAGATGTCAAGTTAGTTAATATCTATCCAGAGGAGCATCTCATAGGGCCATATAGCCAACGGAAGGATAAGTTCAAACAACATTAATTGAATTACAGGGTAACTATTACTAACCAGCCTAAAGGAAAACTCACAAACATAGTGCTTTCACCAACAATCTGAAGGATGATAGCAAAACACAATAACACGGAGGACTGCATACTCCCACATGCTGTTCACCACATTTCTACATGATAGCAAGATACAACAACACAGAGGAATGCACATTCCTACATGCTACCTTTTCCACTCTGGTTGTATCCATATCAAGTCACCATCTTCCCTGATCTACTCTAACTTTTAAAATATAAGATTTGTTAAATCCCCTGCATCCTCTATTCTCCTATCATCTACCTTGTCTTGGGCGAAATTTCAATCTTTTCAGGTTCAACAAATTACATTGAGTCCTCTTTGCTCAGTTAAAAAGAAAAAACTTCAATGGACAAGTGTAAAAGACAGGTTAACTCACTTTGCCCGAACCAAGGACAAAAGAAAAAGGAATTGGTTCACCAGTTTCATCCTTGTGATCGTACGTCGAGTCAAAACGCCATCCTTGCTTTGCAGCAAGCCTCCCGTAATAATGAATTGCAACCTGTCCAATTACAGTGAGAAGACAAGTCTGTACAGCTGATGACAATGTGCAAGAACAAACATATTTCACTAAAAAAATTCCCAAGAACAAATTTTGTTACCAATAACTCAAAAAGATCCTAACTTTGTACAAAATTTAGGGAACAGAAGAAGAATAAGAAAGCATCACAGGAAAAAGATTAAAAGGGGTACCAAGTCACCATCAATGGGGGTTTCTCCATCACCAACACGAAGGTCCAAGGCCTTGACACCTCCAGAATTAGGGAGGTCCAAGAATTTTGGAACTTGAGGATTGGCCCAAGAAATTGAAGTAGTGGGTGCATTTCCACTAGAGAAAACAAGAGCAGAGAGTGAAATAGTGAGTGCAGAAAGAGAAAAAGCTCTTCTTGATTTGTGGGTTGAAGAAGTGGAAGCTTCGATTTTGTGAAGATATAGGTATGTTGGACATGGTAATGGAAGTACCTTGATCATTCTCATCTTCACTGCTCTTCAAGCTTTTCTGGTTTTCTTTTTGTGGAGGGGAAAAGATTTCATTAATATATATTTTTTTTTAGTATTAAGTAAATATAATATAATATGTTTTCCATGTTTTTGTAAAGTATTTTTCCTGAGATAGTAAATCGGTTTGAGTTATTTTTCAAATGGAAAAGGGTCTAAAATGCCCTTAAAGTATTAAAAATGGTATAAAATTACCCTCCATCCATCTATTGGCTCCAAAATGTCCTTTTTCATCCACCTATTGCCTCCAAAATATCCTTTGTCCTTTGAGTTCAAAATTGACCACTTATTTAATGATTTTAAATCTAAACTATTTAAATATTTTTAAAATAGTTGATGTTCATCTATTGGTTATAATTTAATTTATTTGTATTATTTATAAATCAACCCACCACCCACCCATTACTAACTAAACTCCACTTAATTAAAAATCCAATTATAATATCAAAATCATCATAAACACTATTAAAACACGATGAAATTATAGATTAATGAAAATGACATCTAAAATTATTCGAGTCCGAATCGAAGCTCCATTTAAATTTATGTTGAGCTGCTTATTTAGGAGTACACTTTCAATTTGATTCTCTTTCAAGATTGAATTAGAAATTGATGATTAAAGGTAAAGAAATAATACATCCCGAATTAATTCATTCACTTTTTTAAAATATAATTTTAAAATATTTATGATTTGTTTTACAGCTTTTAATATATTATTTTGAAAAAAAAGTTACCTATGAAGTAACATCACATAATTGAGACGTTAGAATGATTAAGATGAACATAGTCAAACTTTTAAGTTTATCGGTAATTTTTATTTAGACACTTGAATGTATAATAATTTACTTCTATAGATTTTTTTGTCTCAAATTTTTTAGAACACTCAAGTGGCAGTAGCTTTTCTATTGTTGCATTAATAATGTGAGTGATTTATTAATTTGGAGGATTTAATTCGTAATGGATGGGTAGTGGATTGATTTATAAATTATAGTAATAAATTAAATATAACAAATAGTTGAGCGCCATGTATTTAAAAAAATATTTAAATAGTTTAAAAATAAAACTGTTAAATAAGTGGTCAATTTTGAACCAAAACGTTGGATGACAAGGGTATTTTAGACCCAATAGGTGTGTGGGAAGGGTATATTGGAGCCAATAGCTGGATGGAGGGTAATTTTATACCATTTTCAATACTTTGAGGGTATTTTAGACCATTTTCCATTTTCCAAATCATAAATGTTGTAATTTACTTGGGTGATTATTACTTTTTTAAATATTTAAAATAAAAATTCAAACTAATTAAGTTGGTAAAATAGTAATTGTATTTTTATTGGTTTCTTCTCAATTTTGCTATCAAACTAATAAACAATTGGTTTGAATTGACTTAAAAAAATAGTTTTTTTTAATTGAAAATAAAAAGTCAAATTATAATAAATTTTAAATCAAAAAATAAAAAGTAGGACAGAATCTACTTTTGATTTGTCTTATTTTAAGTCATTTTTTGTATTTTGTCAAAACTTTCTAACTTATTTTAAGTTATTCTTTATATTTGTTAAACACTTTCAAAAGACAAAAACTAACTTAAAATAGAGTTGATTAACTTTTGCGGAGTATTTTTTTTTATATTTTTTGGTCATACTCAAAAGTTATATTTAATATACTATCAAGAACATATTTTAGGTTAGAATAATAATAATAATAATAATAATAATAATAATAATAATAATAATAATAATAATAAGAAGTTATTATTCTTTTAAGAAAAAATTGTCATTAAGTATAATATCTACTGGAATAAATCTTCAAAATCGAACCATAGTTCATAAATTCGAATTGAGTAAAGGTTATTAATTTATCGATAATAAGTTATTGATTTATCGATTTCAACAAGTGTTATTTATTTTTATTATGAGGTTATTAGTTCTTAAAGGTTTGAACTTTTTTCTAACGGGTTAATTGATAATATGATAGTAAACTAAAGAATTATATTCACTTCATTTGGCATATGACTTGGATTTTAGTTTATACTTTTAATTCTGATGACCTCAAACTCTTGGTTATTCTATAATATATACTAATGCTTGTTTCGAATAAGATGCAACTTGTTAACTCATGTGCACGATTCTGATTTGTCACTTTGTTTTAAAGTAATTTTTAATTTTTTTTTTTTAAAAAAATATATATAGTGGCAAACTAATAAATCAAATTAATTGCTATAACTATCATTTGATTTAATTGTGTCCCATAGCAAACTGTTTGTCAGTCACCTCTCTCCTTCAAACTCTCGCTTGCCACTCTCCTCTCTCGCTTTTATACAAACACAAGCGTATAAAATCTGTTTCTATTTGTATAAAGCAAAGGAAATTGTATAAATACATATATTTTTGTTCCCCGCTCTCCCCTCTCCCAGATCTCGCTCGCCACTCTCCCTAATCTCGCTTGCCACCCTCGCCTCTCTCGCTTATACAAACTAAAGCAAAATGTATAAATTTTGTTTGTGTTTGTAAAAAGCGAGAGAAAATTGATCCTTCACTAAGAAATACAAGCATCCATGCAAAATACATATATTTTCGTCCTATACACTTATAATTATACAATAAAAATACTCCCTTACCCAATTTCTTTTGTCTTTCTCTCTTTCTCGTTTTATACAAATTGAAATTGTATATAGTTTCTCTCTTTCTTGCTTTATACAATTCGATTCAATTGTATATTCCGTGCCCAAGTCTCTTTTGTCTTTTTCTCTTTCTCATTTTATACAAATACAATTCTTTGTTCAAGTCTCTTTCTCATTTTATAAATGTTTGATATGGAGTGCTATGCAAACTTTGCTATAACATACAAATATAAAATAAATTTTATATTTGTTATATATAAAAGTTAGCCTTCTTTTGTATATGTCAAATCTTAATAATAAAATCAATAACAATCAATAACTAATAACTTAAACTGATACACTTCAAAATCAAAACAATCAATACGTAATCCTCTATGAGGCGAGTCAAGATCCTATGAAACATAATTATCTACCTCCATGACGTAAGAATACAGTTTCTAATGGAGTACTCTATTTCGGGTCCCATTTTGTAAAATAATACTTGATATTATTGTTGTTTATAGATATAGTAGACATTCAATCTAAATTGACTTAATAAATATATATATATATATATGTAAATAAAAGCTTAAATTAATAGAAAAACTCGATTAAGATAAAGCTAGCTTTTAGTATGAATTTATGAATATAAAAATTATAAATCAAACTAATATATATACATAGGAAGTTGATATTTATTATTAACAAGAACTACTTGAATTTATTTTAAAAAATATAAATCAAACTAAAATGTAAAGATGAAGTTGATATTATTGATGAGAACTAAACTGTACGTTTTTTTAAAAAAATCAAAGGCAAAAAGGCTTATTAGAAAAACAATTAGGAGTAAGTAATTTTTAGCATTAAAAAGAAATTTAATTTTTTTAAAAAAAGCTTCCGCCGTCTGTGGGGATCGAACCCACGACCACGTGGTTAAAAGCCACGCGCTCTACCACTGAGCTAAGACGGCTTACGTTAATAAACTTACAAAAAATGGTAACTCAAAATACGGTTGTAAGTATTCTCTGGTTACTACTGGATTCTTCTGCGGCCTTAAACCCAAAAATTTTGAGAAGTTATATTTTTTCCCTCTCCGCCACCATCGGCAAAAAACCTTAAACTTTGCTTATTTTCTGGAAAAAGGTATTGAAGAGCAGAAGAGAAGGTTGATTTGAAAGTAACAAAATAAACTCTTGTTTTTGTCTCACCCTGTGACTATTTCTGTACTAGTTAGTAGTTATAGAGAATGGCGGCGCCGAAGGAACAGATAATGGATGTGAGGTCGGTGGTGGAAGCAGTTGCAGCCGGCGGAGATGATGTTGAGATTGATACCCCACTTTATGTGGTTGAAAGCCTCTGTATGCGATGTGGTGAGAATGTATGTGCTTCTTGACTCTTTTTGCTTTTTTCTGTTATCCATCCTTACTTGAGGAAAAAAGTCATCTTTTTTTTTATTTGTTAGAACTTGTACACTATAGAAAAGATGGAAACTTTGGTTTAGCTGAAGAATGTACTAGTTTTGTTGGTTAATTTACTTTTACTGAGGGTGTATATGCTATAAAGTTACAATTTTGATGGGATATTGTGATTCTTGAGTCTGTTTTCTTCGGGTGTTAGTTGGGGTAAGGACAAGTTATAGCTTTTTTTTCTTCTTGAAAATTACTGTAGAAGAGTTCTAAAAGTGTAGTAGCATGAAAGTGTGCTGAATTGAAGAACTCATATGCTTTGGTTAGTCTCTTTACTTCTTATACATAGTATTTATCTGAGTATTTTCTATAGAGCTAGCCTTTTGGTAATAAATTGTGGTGCATTAAACTCCTTTTCCCCCTTTTCAATTTTTGTTAGAGCTACATTGGTGGGAAATCTATTGGTTTCTTGGGCTTTATTGCTTTTGGGTTTTGTATGGAAACTATCAGTAGGATACGACATTTCGTGTAATGGTCTTATTCTTTCTGTTGACAGGGTACAACAAGGTTACTCTTAACACTGATTCCACACTTTAGAAAGGTACGCTGCTTCCTTCCTCTTTGCTTATAGTTCTAGGCAAAGAGTTGTGTGTCCAACCAAACCAGAGTTTTGACTAATCAATATTTCTCTTTTGATAAGCATATTTCAAATAATAAGATAATTCTGGTCAGAAAGACATACTCTTATTGTTTAGCACTGTTGCATTTCCCTGAATTTAGATCAAATCCTAATCTGGCAATATTTTGACCAGCATTTTGATAATTAAAAGAACTGCATGATGTGGGATAGAGTCCTAGCTTCTTGAAAATTTTGAAAAAGATAAGCATGTGAAAAACCTCATTTGTGTGTGACCAATGTTGTCACACTCTCTGTTTTGCATCAATGATGGTCATTCTAAAGGGAAATTTAATGTTTTTCCAGATATTATTGTCAGCATTTGACTGTCCACATTGTGGTGAAAGGTAAG